CTTAAGCCTACCAAGGGCTTATCAACCTCTTTGTGTATCTCGCTAAGCATCGCCTGCCCAAGGACACATGGCCAGAATGACAAAACTGATCTGAATGAAGCTTTGCTGGGTTTTGGAGCCCGCGCACGTAAAGTCGCACAAATGTGCCTGCACAGCCTTTGTCGCAAGCAGAGCAGCGACTGTGTCGCTCTTGGTGACCTCTCCACGGATTTTCAGCAAGCCGTGGACCAGCTCTGCTATGTGCAGCGTCCTCGGTTGCACTACGCCTTTCTACCACACACAGCTGTAAAGAAACAGCAATATCAATGTGTCAACAATGACTAGGTTAGGCAGTGTAAACTGTTCCAGAATGCTCCCAGGCGTCCCACTTCCGTCTGCATCGATCACCTACCGAACAGACTGCAAGGCTTGCAGGTGCCGAATCAAAACATAAGTTTCAAGACAAATCGGTGGAGGATTCAGGTTCAGACATCCACCTCGTGAACTTAATACTTTGCGGTCGCATGCTTGACTTGTAGCCTTTGTAAACTTTAGAAGAGGGAAAGGTATGCACGATGTTAAAGCAAATTAGAGCCTGACCTGAACAACACAACAGCCGATCCGTTGCTGGTAGACCCGTCATCCGAAATGACAATCAGAGGCCCCGATGGATTTGATTCTTTCGTAACTCCACTTCCATTTCACCACATCGAACCACAACATCGAAGTTAAAACTCGACGAGCTGGCTCCCTCCTGGAAAGAACTTGATACTGAGTCGATTCGCCCCGTTATCGGGTCACAAATCAGCCTTGAGTGGGCTTTTCTCGTTGCGTTTGTCTTGAAACCCCTGAAGGGATCTGCAAAATTCCTGAGAAGCGTGTTGCACGGCGTGCCGGGATCAAAGGACGACGAGAGTCAGAAAGGGTGTTTTGAAAGAGGACTGTAGCTATGGTAAAGCAAACATCGTCTATGCTGTAGAAATTGGAGCTTGCTCCATGTCCCCCAACAAGCTTGTTGAGTGCACACTTTGGGGCTTCTTATCGGACCGGTGTCCCTGTTGGCAGGCTTCTTCGCAGTTCCGCCCTGGCCAATGCAGACTGGTAATCACGGGTATTTGGAGATTTGTGTTTGACATTAGCAGGAAGGATGCCAACAGTTATTGACGAGCGCTGCTCCCAGAGTAGACTGCAGAGGCGGTGAAGGCACCAAGTTCATGGCAACCATCAGCAACACCCCGCACCTCGAAGAGATTCGCACGATCCGGGGGGAGGTCCAGATCGTCCATCAGCAGTTGAACCTGTCGGTCCTGGTCAGTGCTGTCACAGATGCAAACCTTGCAGGTCCAGTACTGGCCCAGCACTCACTCCCTGCAGAGATCAGTGGACGAAGTCCATGCACAATCTGGGTGAGTTTGCCTGAATGACCAGTAGGAAGAGCTCCTGCAGACAGTTTGAGAAGCCCGTCTTTGAACGAAATGGTCGTGGCATGAGAATCAGACTTCACGACCGCATCCTATCTCCGCATGTACAGAGCTCAGTTGCTGGTGACTGCATCACTCTGCGCTCTCGGAAGGATGCTGACGCTCTCTGCACTTCGCGCTAATCAACGCAGGCGAGCTAGTGCGCCCGACGACTCCCTGCCCTCCGAGACACGATCAGAAAGCAGTCCTTGGTAACGGCAATGTTGTCCTGGATCTCGTCATCCGTGAAAAGGGCCGCATTGGGACTGATGTCAATGCTGCTCATGTCACTTTCCTGCAAAACGGACGCTTCAAAATCTAGCTCACAGGCTGGAGCTAGGAGTTCTTGCCACAGCTGGGCCCAAGCATGCAGAAGAACAAATTTCGGTTCGACGCACCTCAATGTCCTGAAAGAGATGATACCTGAAAGGCAAAGGCATGCTCGAGGCGGGGCGACAATGACAAGCATGAGCTGTGCTGAAACCAGATGTATAGCACAAGTTGCCGTTAAGTGCAGTTTGCCGGCCCTCATGTCCGAAAGAGTAGTTTAGTTTCGATTCGTGCACTGAGACAATAGGTTCGAAAAGTTGTGTCATACCATCGGTTGGGCAACCCTCGCTTTCGTTGCCTGTCCAAGCTTTGCAAATCATGCACATGTTGTTGGTAACAACATCCCCTCGAGTGACTCCTGACGGTTTGCATGTGAGTGCTTTGTTGTGCAGGCTCAGACGAGCACGAAACTGTGGTGTCAGCACATGTTTGCTCGGGGGACGAGTTATAAGGAAGAGGATCCTCGAGAGGGGTCACTTGGACATGGGGCAGTTTGTGCGTTTTACAGCGGTTTTGAGGACATCGTGAAGCAAGCACGTAGGGAAAACTTTACGTGGAGGACGATTTCACACTTATTCGCTTGGACGGGCAGTTGAGTACTGGCGCCTACACCCATCATCATCGTTGGTATTGGACTACAACATCACGAAAGTACTGTAACAAAGAGGATGTGCTCTTACAAAGTACGTCATCAGCCTCCGCCAGCAACCCCCCCCCATCCCCCCCCAGCAAGCTAAAGCATGCTAACACCTGCAAAAGTCACTCGAGGGGATGTTACCATGCTGATGCCCCATACTACAGATCCGAGATGCGCAGCTGCGAACTTCTTCAGCAGTTCGCGCGTGGTCCGAGCAATGCGGATAGACTCGCGTGCATGCTGGTCAGCTGTAACCGCCTCATTCTCTTTAGCCGCCTTCATCGTAATGTCAACCTCGAGAACTGACGGTGCTTGCTGCGTCACCGGTTGATTGACACGTCGCATCGCACTCTGATGGAACCGGCGTAGCCGACTGCACGAACTGCAGGTACCATCCTGGAGCTGCCTTCCTGGCCCTGTAGAGACGAATCCCAAGTGCTTCATAATTTTCAGGCTGTCTACCTACATGATCCATATGCTGTTCTAAGATTCTAAGGCAAACCAAAGAGATGTTTAATCCCAGTGTCGTAAACGGCCAAGATCACATTGAAGATTCCCATCGCCTCGGTCACAAGCCCACCCCGGACGCCTTGCACACAGGAGCCCTGGGTGCTCATGGTCTGAGCGCATGGCCACCAGCATGTAGCTGAAAACATAGCTGAAAACAAAGATATGGCCAAACTCTTGTGCCAGCATGTGGGTCAACGGCTTCCCGTACTCGTCGACACACTCACCTGTCAGCGCACACATGTTCAGCGGAGTTTGCTGTTAAGCAATTGAATTTGAATGCAGTTGCCTGTGAAGCAGCGAAAACATGTAAACATGGAATCCGGCAGGGTCCTTGGATGCCATGGGTTGGAAGGGGTCCACTGTCTTTTCCCCTGGCTCGACAAAAGTCCACCAAAAGGCTTGAACACAAAAGACTGTGCCGGAATCTGTGAAGCCGCCGAAAGTGCATTTCCAGATCCAGTCGATCGATGGCTTCGTGGCCTCCAAGCACCATAGTGGCAAAACCGGATATCACCTAAGAGCCAACGATTGCACACCGCCGACCGGCATGAAGCACAGCTGCTCGGAAGCATATCTGCGCTCAGCTGCGTATATGACAGAGAACAGCAGCGTGAAGGCCAGGATCAGAGTCCTCAGCTGTCTGACACTCAGTGCCCAATTTGTCGGCAACAGCGGCCAAGTGGTTATGCATGCCGTCTGTGTCGAGGCGTGGAATTGCTTTCAGATGTCAGCCTCTTGCGCCGAGCATCTTGACCCCGGCAATCAACCCTTTCACCATGAGCCGCAGGTCTCTCATGAACTTCAACCGGAACACCTGCGGAGCTGAAACAGACTTGACTTCGGAAACGCAGCATTGTATGAGCATCTGCCTTGACGATGCGTACGAGGCGGATCAGTCGACAGAATCGAAGAAGTGACGTGGCAAAAAAGTCGACCTTTTGGTCAGTGCTGAACTGAATCACGACGTCCGTGACTCCAGTCACTCCCAGAAAAATATCCTTACTTCAGTCGTGAGCAAGCAGCGAACCAACCTCTACCGCCCGGTCTCACTACTGAAAAATTCTCCCTGCAGCATGCATCTGCTGTGATACGATAGGAAAAACCAGCACGCAATGAAAATCGATATCTCAGGACGGGCAGCAAAGAAATTCCAGTACCGCTCTGTGCCGCACCAAAACTGTCGGCATTTCAGTAGATGCACGCGGAACGCGATCTCGAGCAAGAGAAAGGAAGCGAATGCTGCTTCGAAATAGGCCCAGCCGTCCCAGTCCTGGTCACGGTCAATACCATCGCCGTGAAGTGTCTGAAAGCAGGGCACGTGGGGGCAACAAATGAAGGATGCATCGGATGGTTTCGCTGACGGCTACTGGGCAGAGTAGTCTCGAGTTGCGTTTTGACAAAAGCTTTGACCTTGTTCCTACATTGATGGGCGGCGTGTGGACCGAAGTTGCATATGAGAGCCTAGTTCGGCATGGTGGCCCCATCACATGTGGTAAGTCGTTCTCAGCGTACTTTCAGGCAACAACAAAAATGTAAAGACACGCGAGACCCTAGACACTCCTGATATGCGGGATCTGTCTGGAACCCGATCCTTGGCTTGTGACAGTGCGCGGGATCCTGGCGCCAAACTCTAAGAACATCAGTTCGTCTGACATCCACCGCAACCAGTTTAACATGTCGGTAGCTTGGCCGAGCCACATCACACCATTAGCGATGATCAGCCTCGGGGGTACGACTCCAGATGCCACTTACAAGCCTGAAGCAATTCTTGTTCTCCTGAAGACCACTAAAGGCCAGATGCTGCTACTTTCACAAGGCCGCGTCAGCCTCAAAGCTCTTCGATCCACTATTGCTGCCTTTCCGTTCTTGCAGTCTGTGACAGTACCTCCCTGCTTGAAGCACTGCATCACGGGTAGCGAGAAAACTACCCAAAGCCGGCCTGAAGAGTAATTATCACACTACAAAAGGACGGTATCAACACGCAACAACCTTTCTTGCCTTCGGCCTGCTTTGACATAGCCTGATGAAGCTCGTAAGCGGCCGCAGACTCATGCCAAAGAACACGGCGACGAAAGGCTCAAGCAGGAGAAGCGGGTGCAGAGGCTCAGGTGGCACCTGAGACGGACATCGCCAGCCCCGAACGGTATGGGATTACCAGATGCCGCTGTGAATTCTAGATTCTAGTGCAGCATCGTGTCGCGTTCTATGTTACATCATACACGCTCTACTGGTGCACACGATTGCATTGCATACGATCCCTTTTGCATGTGGGGACAGCACAAGCTGAACAGTCGGTTGAAGCTAGTGCCACAAAGATGCCGGCAGAACGAAATGAGAGGCATCGACAGGATGCATCCGGCACAGGAAAATGCCACCGATGACAGCTTAGACCCGCTAAGAGGCAGGCAGAACACAAGTCTTACATGTACGAGAAAACTTCTTGGAACCAGCATCCATGTGAGAAGACACAGTAAAGCCAGCGCGCAGAGAGCGGCCACACAGCAAGCGAACAGCGTCTTGACGAAGAACGTGCAGCAACCCGCTCCGCTTGTTCTCAGCAACAGTGAAGCCACCAACCACAAGCAAATTCTCAACGAAGTGCGGAGCAGAGGCAACCAGCTGCTCATCACCATCGTCACTAGCCTGGAACACAGTGGAGGAGTCGCTGGAGCTGCTGGTCTCAGCGTTGACAGCGACCTCACAGTTGCCCGCCTTCTTCTCATTGCTGCTGGGCGGAGAGGAAACCACAGGGGCTGAGGTCACAGAGCTGGCCGGTTCCTGCCAGCGTCCGCTGCGGGCCACGTCAGGTAAAGACTGCCCAGCCTGCATAGAAAGAACCACCATCCCCGGCTCACGTAGGGGGCCAACAAGTGCATCACGCCGGTAGCCCACGCTTGCCATTTTAACACCATGGCTGTGATAGCCCCGAAAAGTCAGCGTTTTGTCAGACAAACCAGCCTTGGACCCCCAGCTGATCAGAGTAGCCTTGCAACTGTGGCTGCGGAGTTTGCTGATCAGAGCCAGGTCAGCATTGGGACACTGCATCAACTGAGAACTGCTCAGCCACTCCTGCAGCCAGGCACCAGAGGCGGACACACCAGGGATCAGCGAGTGGTCCAAGGCGCTTGAGCACTGAAGACCACTGGCCTCACGAACGGCCCGAAAGGTCCCTCTCCAGGGGACAGCAGAAAGGCCAGCGAACAGCGCGGTCAGCGGCATGAACACGTTGCGCCGACTGGAAGCACGGGACTGCTTCGGGTTCTTCACCCTGCACTCCACGAAACCACCAGACCTCGGGAGCCAGGTCGAACTCGATGTGGGTGGCGCGGGCCAAATTTTGCCTAGCACGATCGAACATTATGAAGCAGAGAGTGCAGGCCACCAACTTTTCGCACAGGTCGTCAACGGAACGCGGCGTTGTGCTCCAACCACATTAGCCTAGTTGTTTTGCAGTCAACGGAGGTGGTTGTTCAACCTCGTCCTTGGTCCTCAGGTGCGCATGGGCAAGCCCCCGCACACGAGCAGACAGAAGGTCCTGAACAGGAAGGCAAAGTCCCTGCCGTGCACGAAGCTGAGACTGTTGTCGATGCTCGAACCAGCAGCTGTGATTCTGAAGCCGCCGACAGTGCAGCCACAGCACAGGCTCAGACATCGTCTCATCAGGACTGGTCTTCGTGTGCCACAGCACGGACCTGGTCAATGGGTCGAACCCAGAGAGTTTTGGTGCTCTTCTTGTTGAACAGCAGGTCCAGGCGCTCAACCAAACCTCGATCGCCACGTTCTGGCAGCTTAGACAACGTAGAAGAACTGAACAGACTGAACATGTCAAGAGCCATGCGCAACAGATTTGACCACTTGCAGAGCGCCTGCACAAGCTTGGCTCGTTCCTGCTTGGAGCTCCAGCCTAAAGCCTTAGCGGGTGCTGGGGGCCTGAACGACGACAGCGCACCAGCTCCTCCAGAGTGTACAGAAGTAGCAGCACCGGAGGGAAAAAGCAGGTTGCCGAAGCCGCGGCACAGGCTGAGGCAAGCAACAGGTTGTCAAGAGAAGACTGCAGCGTACTCGTGTCACCACTGAGAAAACCAAAAGTGCCAGACTCCCAAGGCAAGTCCAGAGCCCAGACGTCTATCATTGCGCCTCACAGGTCCAACCCGAGGCCGTGGTCCCAAAACGGATCAGAATCCTGTCTCATGGGGATGGGCGGGCGGACAACAGGAAAGACATATAGCGAAATTATTGCCACACGCTCTACTAGTGCACTAACGATTGCATTGCATACGATCCTTTTTGCATGTGGGGACAGCACAAGCTCAACAGTCGGTTGAAGCTAGTGCCACAGAGATGCCGGCAGAGGCATCGACAAGATGCATCCGGCACAGGAAAATGCCAGCCCAGAACCTTCAGGTCCAGGTCAGGCAGCTGGAGCAGGGCGGGAGCTTCCCACTTGTCGAGACCATGGGCCTTAGCTTTCATGGACGCTACTGCTGCCTACAACTGACCTACGTCGAGTTCGGTGTCTGGAGAAACGGGCCGTTGAGGGAGCCGTTACCAGGACCCACTGCCACAGTTCCATCTGTTTTTCGCAGAAGCCAGGGTGGACGAGCGGCTTTGACCCATTTAATCGCATGGTCGTAGTCGTGGATGCGTGCTCGCCACTCACTCACCCTCTGGTCTTGGAGCTTTTTGAGCATCACTTGAAGGTGCTGGTTACAAACTTGAATATAGCTGGCTGCCACTGCTTAGCCGTGAACATGATGTGCGACTTTCCATCGATTGGCACCCTGCTGGATGTTTCTGAGAAACCCGCTATTGACGTCTTGGCCTCTGGTACAGCTACCCCGCGCTTCGTGGAGTTTGCGCAGGAAGCGCCGTAGCTCTCGTTCCTTACTGTCCCGGCCAGCTCCAGGATCAAGAGGAGCAGGATGCGCTTTGGAGCTGTGGCATGGTCCCTCTCGGAGATGCCTTGGTGCGTCGCGCTATCACCCGTGATGCCTTGGCGAGCTATGCGTCGGCTGCAGCTGCCTCCTGCTGCCACGCACTGGCAGCGAAGGCCGACGCCTCCATTGCCTGAGTCTCTGCGGCAGCGACTAATTAAAAGGGGCCGCGCTGCGAAACTCCCAAGCTGGATCCTGCGTGGTGGCGCGGTGAACTTCCAACGTAGTCATCATGACCGTATGATCAGAGATCGTGACTTGCAGGGCCGGAGCGATCCACAAGGAGTCCGTAGGCTCTCTGCTGCTGTTGTGGTGACCTACGTTAGCAAGGGAAGTGCCCAAGTTTCACATAGTCTGGCGAAGGACCCCTGCAAGCCGGTTGAGGTTGGAGTCAACGGCGAGGACCCAGGGCCTGTTAGGGTGAGCTTGCAGAAGCTGGGTGACTTCAGGAAGGACGTCGTTACAGGGACCCGGTCTAAGGCACAAACTAAGTGCAAAGAACACGTGGCTCCAAACAAGGACTGCCATCCCTTGCGGTGGTAAAAGTTACTCAGGGTCAAAAGGTGAGCTTGCGTGACTCCGGTCTCTTGGAGGAGCACGACTGGACTGTTGTAATCCTCTGCAAGGTCTAGCACAGCGCCCTCGCAGCGAGCAGACGTTTGGGCTGAACAAACAGATGCCTCGGTCTGGGCCTGGGTGTTTCCTAGGAAACTCATGGATTTTCTATGATGTTCACAGGATTCCCCAGCAAAACCATGCTTTTCCAGGGCCAGGCTACAGCCAACCAGCGAAAATCACATAAAAAAACAAGAAGATATTTTCCATAAATATTCTAGAAAATTTGTGGATTTTTTGTGTTTCAATGATTTGGCTAGCCCGGGCTAGGAAATGTTAGGAAAATCCTAGGTGTTGCCAGGGAATCATGGATTTTGCAGGAATTTGAAGGATTTCCTAGCAAAATCCTCGGCAGGTCCTACGCTTTCCTAGGAAACTCGTTGCTTTTCTATGATTTTCATAGGATTCCCTAGCGGAACCATGCTTTTCCAAGGTCAGGCTAGGGCCAGGCAGAGAGACAAAACATAATCAAAAAACATTAAAAGAAAAACATGAAAAACCAGCGTGCACAAAACCATTCAAAAAACATCATAATTAAAACAGAAACAAACATGTTAGAAAAACAAATGCAGAACCACAGAAAACGCAGATCGAAAATAAAACGTAGATACAAGACGTACAAGAAGCATAAATAGATCATAAAAGAAAAGTAGTGCTCAGCAGCGCTGGTTCCAGCTCGAGACGGTTGAGCACCACCTTGAGCGAAAACTGAGAGCGTGGCAACATGGTACGAGGGGTGGGTGTGAACCGAGGGGTGGCGGCCACACCTCTCTCCTGAGCTTGAGACTGAGGGCTCCACTAAGGATGTGAATGCACTGAGGGAGTACACTGCGAGTGCACTGCTGAGGGAGTGGCACTGCCTCGTCGGGTGCCTCCTGTAAGGTCAACGCAGAAGCTGGGAGTCTCCTTAAGCCAACTGTCAGGAATGTTGGCTCCAGATTCTTGCAAGGGGATAAGCTCTGTGTCTAATGCTTCTCCTTCAGAACAACAGAGTGTGGGGCAGCCTTGCGGGCCGAGCAAGAACGGCCCTTGGAGCCTGCTGCGCAAGTTTAAGGCTCTGGCCAAAACACTGGTGCCTCCGCGCTCGGTCCCAAGCTCTCAAGCGAGCCGCCTGGACCCTCTGGACACCGCTCTTTCCGAGACCTAGTTTCCTGCACTCGGAACAAACAACTCGGAACCATGGTGGCTCCTCGTTGCAAACTTGCTCAGGCGCTTCTTCGCACGCCTTCGTTTCGTGGTGCTACGTTTGTGAAAACTGTGGAAGCAACGCAACCAAGCCCCTGCAAGGCACCAGCAGCAGGAGTCTTCACGATCTCTTGCTCCATGGCCATGACTAGAGAATCGCGGTCGCTGTAACTAGACGGGGGCCCGAAGGGCCTGGTGTAAGAAGCACAAGCTGCACAAAGGCGCCCAGTGCTGTTGAAGTGCGGAGTCTCCACAAGTAAAGTCGCATTGCAGCACGGCAAGCAGAAGCAGAAGCAAAGCAAGGGGAGCAAAAGGGAACGGGACCGGCTCCAAGCAGCAATCTGCTTTCTTTCTTTTTGTTCGTTCTTTTTGGAGCTCTTGAACTCTTTCTTGATCGTTCTTGAGGTCAAAGGGGGCATGACCTTGTCTTCTTGTTTAGTCTGCTGCGCACCTGAGGCCAAAACAGGCCGGCCCCGCTGCCACCACGCGGAGGTGTAAACCAGGCAGCTCAGCTCCGCGACAATATATGTAGACAGCGCCACCCTACCACGTAGCAGCGCCACTGCCGGGGGGGCGCAAAGCGCCACAGGCCGCGTTGCAGTGATCCTTAGATGAGTCCCGAGGGGACTGGGGAGCCTCAGCGGGTCCTAGGTAGTGCAAAAAAACGCGAGAGGCTCGCAAGCGTCTCTGAGCCAGTGCTGAGCTAAAACGGCCTTAGCAGTTGTTCCTTGGATCACATGTGCTCATTTCACGACTGTTTCCAAGAATCCTTAGTAAGCGCCAGAATACGCTGGCTGACACGGCCAAGTTGGCTAAGCACTTCATGGTGGATCCCCTGTTGGTCCCATCCTAATCTTGCAGCCAATTGCGAAGCGGGCTGGCTGCAACAACGAAGATCAGAAAACTTCGGGCAGACCCAAGACACATGGTGAAGGCTTGGGACTGTGGAATCGCCACAAAACGGGCAGTGATGAACCATGAGCTTCGTCCTGTACTCGACAGCGGGGGACTTAAACCCACCAGTGGCACCATCATGCTTCTGGATCCCTGTATGGCCTGAGTTCATCCACACTACGGTGGAGCGAGGAAAGGTCGTCAATGTAGACAGTTTGCAGAGACTGTGGTCTCCTCTCCTGCGATGCTTTGAGAGGTCCTGCAAAAATAAGCGACCTGGCAAGCGGTGCCCAAACATCACCTTGGAGCAGGCTCTGTACTTGACCAATGGGTGTGGGACAAACTTTATCTGCAAAGCACACCCACCTTTCGTGATGCTCCTACATGCCTCTTAAGGCACGGAGGATGCCTTTAGCTACTCCAGCTCTCTGCAGCAAGACATGTGCCGTGCGCCAGTCGGCGCAATCAAATGCTTTGGAGTAATCGAGGGAGGCGCTAAACCTGTGCGTTCGGGACGCGGTCTCCTGGTCCATGCTAAGCAGCAAGGTTTCGGCATCGTGTCCCTTGAGTCCTCCAAACTGGAGTTTGGCAAGAACATCAGGGGAGAGGGTTTGGATGGCTTGCTTGAGCCGAGCCTTGGCCCAAGCCCTGACTACGGATCCCACGCTAATCGGACGAGTCTTGAGGATATCAGTGATTCTGTCATAGCTGCCTTCTATCCGGTGGCCTCAATTGCCATCAGCGTCTGTGTCAGTCTGCCCCACGCTGCCTCGGGGAGGCGGATATGGACGCAACCGCAGTCTTCAGCTGACCTGGGTCGAGAACGATGTCCGGCGCGACTGGCCTTTGAGGATGGCGGTTGCCAAAAGCTCGCAAGTACCTATCCGTGTCAGGCGAGTATCCTGGGCCACCCGTAAAAAGTGGGCCCACGCTTCTCTGAGGGCATAAGCACCACTGGCTTTGACCCACTTGACGTCATGGTTGTAGTCGTGCATGCGTGTGCGCCACTCGCTCATCCTTTGGTCTTGTTGCTTTTTGAGCATCGTGTGAAGGTGCTGGTTGCAGGCGAGCATGGCGGGTTACCACTGTTCATCCCGCACGCGCTGTGCAACTTTCCAACGGCCGGCACTCCGCCTGATGTTACTGAGAAGCCTGTCGCTAACAGCTTGGCCTCTAGTGCATCTGCCGTTCGCTTCGTGCAGTTTGCGCAAGAAGCGCCGAAGCTCACGTTCCTGGCTATCCTGACCGGCTCCGAGAGAGCAGGCGGCACTCTGGAGCTGTGGCAGGGCCCCTCTTGGAGACCCCTTGGCGCGTGGCGCTATCACCCCCGCACGGAGGAGTGAGGCCTCAGCATCACGAGACCACTGGTCCCACGAAGCGATCGGATTCCCATCCTGAACCTGGGCTAGCCAAGCATCGTCTGCAACGCGTTGGCAGTTAAGGCCAGCACGTCCGCCTGAGTGTCGGAGGCAGCGAACAGGGAAGCAGCACTGCGAAACTCCCAAGCTGGGGCCTGAGTGGTGGCCTGCTGGATGTGCACCGTCGTCATCATGACCGTATGATCAGAGATCGGCGGAAGCTCGGCGGCCTCAGTCACTTGTAGGGCACCCACAGGGAGTCCGTAGGCTCTCTGCTGCTGTTGTGATGACCGACGTTTGCCAGGGAGGCACCCATGTTACACATAGTCTGGTGAAGGACACCTTCAAGCGGGTTGAGGTTGAAGTCAGCCGCGAGAACCCACGGCCGGCTGGGGTGGGCCTGCAGAAACTGGGAAACCTCAGGGAGAACATCAAAACCAGGGCCCGGTCTACGATAGGCACAAAGTAAATGCAGCGGGCAAGTAGCACCGAGCAGAGACACAAGCATGGCTTGCCCTTGGACCTGTAAGTGAGTGGAGAGAAGAGAGAAAGCCCTAACGGGTACTTGACGAGACAGCCGACGCCTCCTCTTCCACCGCCTTGAACAGTGTCAAGGGGGAGTCCAAGAAACTGCGGTGGAAGAAGACTGAGCAAGGTCCAAAACAGCCTGGCAGCCCTGTCAAGCGAGCATGCAGATGCCTGGGCCAGGGCCCGGATTGGATGCCTCACCGATCCTTGTAGCTCGCAGGCCTCGTCTGGTCTGGACTAGGGCCCCTGCCGGGAGCCGGAGGTCTGTAGTGCGACCTGCAGACTCCCTCAGCGCCCCGCACCGTCAACACGACTGCCGAGCAGCCGGTTTCTTTCGCGGCCTCTTGGCCTTGATCTTCGCTCCCTTAGCAACCTTAGCGGCATCGCGAGCTTTCCTAAAACCATTTAAATAGCCAGTCTCGAGGGGGGCTTCTTGCCGCCACTGCTTCCAAAGCTTCATTCTCTCATCAAGCGGCACAGGCTTGGAGCTCAGCTTGGCTTTGGGGCAGAGGTGCAGGGGGATTTTCTGTCTCATGATCTCCAACCCGCATGTCTTGCATCTGTGGCACGCAGCATACGAGGTTTTGCCTTGTTTGCTTTTAGTCTGAAGCCAACTCGTTGGTTTCTCGGCGATAGCATGCGCTCCTGGCCACCGGGCTTTCGTAATTTTTTGAAAAATACAGGCCAAGCGCTTTTCATAGGAATCCTTGGCCGCCTTCTTGCGCGCAACTCCGTGCGACAGGCTCGTGGTATGCCGGAGATCTGGCGCTTTTTTCGAGGCCATGCACTCTGTAAAGGTGCTGGCTGCGTCGCAAGTCCGGACGTTCAAATTCGCCAGGGCCTGTGAAGACGCGGTATGAGCAATGCGGGCATGGCCGCCAGAACCGTCTAGGCTCGTCACCCTCCTGAGTGAAGGCCGGGAGGCCTCCAGTAGGCTTGTGAGCCGGGTTATGGCTCACTCTGTCGGGGTTGCTAGCTTGCCGGAGCCGCACGGTAGGAAGCCGAGAGATGTAAGGCTTGACGCCCTTCTTACTCACTGCATCCTTGTCCTGACCACGAGCCACAGTGTAAGCAACAGTAGGGGCCTGCTTGCTAGCATGCGGGAGTCGGTTCAGACACTGGTGGTTCTGGGGGAGACTGTTGCTTTCCTGAGTGGGGTCCGGTGCCTCCTCAAGGGTTTCGCGAGCCGAAAAGGATTCCAGGTGTTCAACCAAACTGGCCGCAGCACAACACCTCTGAGCGCCACCCTGAATGAAGACTGAGGGCGTGGCAGCATCGACCACAACGTGGGTGTGGACTGAGGGAGTGGCGGCCCCGCCTAGGTTCTGAGCCTGGGAGTGGGAGGCACGCGAGGGGTGCGAGTGCACCGAAGGCGTCCACTGCGACTGCACGGAGGGAGTGGCATGTCCTTGGTGTGTGCCTCCAATAATAAGGTCGACACAAAAGCTGGGAGTTTCCTTCAACCAGCTGTCAGGGATGTTAGCTCCAAACTCTTGCGGGGGGAATAAGCGCCGTATAGTGTTTGTCCTTCAAGACAACGGTGTGCGGGACGGCCTTACGGGCCCAGCAGGCCCGACCCTTGGAGAATCTGGCGGCGAGGACATACCTTTCCCACGTGCTGTCATTGTACCGCCAAACACTGGCCTGAATCAAAGCTCCCTCCGCATAGGTGCCTTGCTTCCCTGCGGCTTTAAGCCAACTTTGAAAGGTTTGCTCATCCTTGAAAAGCTCAGCAAATCTACCCGCATGATACTCGGCATGCAGTTTGGCTTGTGCCCTGAACCAGGCACCTTCGGTGGTAGCTTTCTTAGCATCGATGCGACCCTTCGATCCATAGAGAGCATCCAGAAAGGCGACACAGTGCCGCTGGACTCATCAGACCACTTGTCCTTTTCCAAGATGTCCGCGGCGGTGTGGTAGATGCGGCGAAGCTCTTCACGAGGAACCGCCTACAGGACTGAAGTCAGCATGTCCGTGTCAGCCTGGGCCAAGGAGCGCGCACGGCGAACCAAACGGGAAAGTGGGACCAGCGACATGATCAACAACAAACCCAACAGCCACACGCAGTCAAAAGCAACAGAACACAACAGAAAAACAGAGCTTAAGCCAAAATGGCCGCGCGGGCAATAAAGTCGCATGTTGACACATGGCAAACACCTTGCTGCATGTACAAGAAAAATCTCGTCTTCGAGGCAGTAACGAACTGCTGACACCGACATGTTCTCTGCCAGTCCAGCATGTCATGCCAGCCCTTCTCTCATCACATGATGTGCATGCATGCATGTGTGTGTGTGTGCTCGTGCTTTTTTATGTTGTCTTACAGCATTGTCATTGTTGCCATTAAACCCAGAACGAGATGCCGCCAGGTCGTTGATGCGAACGAAAGTCAGCTCCGCGACAAGCCCTCAGCTCTGACCAAAATGATAACCCTTCTGACGGATAGCAGGATAACATCTCTTCACGTAAACTGAAAAGGTCCACCCACTCAGGCTTGTGCTGCTCTGCTTCTGGTTCTGCAGCATGCGTTGCGAACGACAAGTCAAAAGCAAACTTGTATCGCAGCTGCAAGCAGCTGTGATTACTGCCACGCTCTCGCGGAGGCAAGAAAACTCGCTGCCGAGCGGCGGTTTGTATCCCCAGCAAGCAAAATCTCCCGAATGGCTTGGAACGGTTTCAGATAAGATCCGAAGATCTTGTACTGAATATCCTCAGATCACAAACGGCAGCAGCTTATCCTTCGGTCTTGTTCACCCACACCGCCGTGGGTCGCGGGCACATGTATTCAAGATGGCAAAGCACGAACTAGGACCCAGAGCAAATTCATACTTCAGGACATTGCCGGACAAGCATCCGTCTCCTCAGCCAAGCAGAGCTCCATGAGCGCCTGAACCCACTGCAGCCAGAGCATTCAAGGACAGAGTGTAACGCTAGACAAAATGCGCCTGAGCAGGCACTGCATTGTACTTCTGCTGCCGCGGCCTGCATGCACATGATTGGACAAACTGATGAGTCACCCTGGCAGCCTCACTCCACAGCTTGTTGGAACACACACACACACACAGAGACAGACAGACACACAGAGACACACAAACACACACACACACACACACTGTGACACGATCTCAACTATCCTTACTCCGCGAAGTTACGAGGCCCGGCACCACTTCCAAACTCTACACCTTTCAGCTCTGTGCTTTTAATGGTGCTTTGATCCGGGCTGCTTGTCGAGGGCGTGCCACTGCAGAGACGCACTCTTGTGAATCCTGGGCACGGAGCAGCAGCAACAGACGACGGGGCATAAGCCTGAAACCAGAAAGGAGACCTCAGCTACTCGCAAGCTTCCAGGCTCACTGAGCTGAGGTTCGATGAAGTGGAATACGACTCCCGGTATGGGGGCCACTCCCACTCAGGAATTCCGAGGTTCTGGGCATCGTCGTCATGAAAGCTGAAGATGTGCGCTGCCGTCACCTCTTTCGAGATTTCAGGAAGCAGGCCCTTGTCGACCGCTCAGTTGACCTAGCGGCCTAGCTCAATGTCAAGCTGAAGAACCACAAGATCGATGCTTCAAGAGAGCCGGATTGGCCCCTTGCCCGACCCCTAAACAAGGCCAATGCCCAGGAACAGGTCGCCACCGTGCAGGTCGCTACAGCACCTGTGCAGCTTGGTCGCTGAAGTCTGACTCGGCCGCCCCTGGCAGAATGAAAATCATGCTCCCACTTGAGCAACACTTTGCACAACACGCTTAAGACATCAGAAAAGCATCGCCGAATAAACTTCGGTGCACCTTGTGGTCTGGAGCTAAGAAGCGGAGGCCAATGAAATCCGCAAGGCAGTTGACGATGTCGTTGATCTCTTGCAGTCCATATCTTGTTAGGCCCAATGCGGACACCGCATCATGGAGCGACTTACCGGACACCAGCTTTGTTTGCGTAATGGCCCCGAGCCGCACGCGCAAGCGTCGTCGAATGGCCCGTGCTTCCTCTATATTCAGGCCCTTCAGCCGAGAGCGCAAATAAGGAGCCCCGCTCCCAGCAGTCGGAATCGCGGGCATGATCTCGCTGCTAGCACTGCTTCCCGATCCTCTTGAATCTGCGGATGTCCGTGAGTCTGTCCCCAAGTCAGCGGCACGTTGCGAGGAAGCCTTATGTAGTGTTCCAACAGGCTGCAGGGAACTAGGGATGCAAAATCCAGAATGTGCCAATTGCATTTTCGGCAACCCTCGAGGCCCTCGAGGCATCGGATTTGCTCTTGGAGACCTGCATGGCTGCTCAAACATGCCAGCAGTCGTGTCCACGAGATTCTTTTCATGCTGCAAAACGTGCGTTTCGCCACTGCTGGCAGACAATGCATCCTCGAACCTAGCAAAATTGACAGAGTCAGCTTCGCTGTCTAGCGACACACCATCTGTAGACATGTAAGAGTGGTGCTAGCCCCTAGCCGGGTGATCCGAGCTTTCTGTGGTTGTCCATGGCCGGCATGCCCTCGCTATGTGCTCCCCCACATTCGGTCGGATCTTTTACGTCACTGGGTGCCAAGTGTTAAACCGTACAGAAGACAAGAACCCAGACTTTAGAGTCAAGGAGTCTGAGTAGGGAATTTAATGCAAGTCGTGTATGTTGCGGTAAAGCAATGTAGAATGTTGCTGCAGGACCAGTGCATGTGTCATGGTTCCAACGACAGGTCCGCGATCATATGTGTCACAGACGGCACATCAAAACTACCAGGAAAGTGATTGTCTGCAAGATGGCGGCATGTAAGTCTGTCTTTCTATGCTCCACATTGCCTCCTCCATGGTGCCAAGACTGCCGAGACTGTAACGGGAGATCTCCACCCCCGTGTCATCCTGATCTTCCTGCATTCAAGATACTGCATTCAACATATAGCACCCTTTCCGCATTCGCACATCTCTACTTGATAGTCTTTGCAGCATGCTGGTAGTCCTCTGTAGCCCAACGCTCATTCAGCTTCATGTCGATGTCTATTCCGTCTGCATCTGACAGGCAAGAGTTGGAAAGCTCGCGGGAAGCAGGCGTTGGACATGCAGCCACGTCGAGACTCTGAAGTTTCAACGAGAAAGAACATCGAAAGCCCGGATGGCCACCGGAGGCAGACACACAAGGTCATAAGTAGGATGCCACCTCAGCGTTCGAAAAGACGACAAGGAAGAATCAGACAGCAGATCGGTGGCCGGGAGACACAGTGGTCTGAATTGAACAAGATCAAAGGCGCAAGCTCAAAGTCCAACAGAAGTGGTCCTGCTATAAGAGCAAACAGGAAGCTTGAAAAGAAGGTGTACCACAAGCCGGAAACGGAACATAGAAACTGCAAAAGACAATCCAAAACGAAACCAAACAAGTGGACAGGAAAATGGGGCATGTTGTGTCCAGGGGAAACATAGTACTCCAAGAAGTGCCTTCACTATTCACACTTGCAGAACCCCTCCAAAGACCAATAGAGACCACAAAACGTGCTCCCACAAGGCCGGGAAACACCCAAGAAGCACACAAGTGAAAATGCTCTGCCCGCAAGCAGACGAAGAGTGGAACACTTGGGCCGCAAGCCGCAAACAATGGCCGGGGCACATCTACGTGGTGCACGGGGTGTTCCCGCACGTGGTATAGGAGGCATGTCGGCAATTCACAACATGTCGACAACATCGGCAGCTGCGGGGGTTGTCCGGATCTTGGCATTGTTGGACGTGTTTTGGTGGGCTTCCAGTCTGCTTGCTAGTTCTACCGTTGCTTTAGGTCTTGGCTTGAATGTGCATCATCGTCTCATCTTTGCGATGGTCAAAATGCATGAGAGTGCACCAAACTCTGGTCATGAAGGTGATGTAGGCTTGCTGGACGGTTTCTACCTACGCGGAATTAGCCTTCCCAACACGCCCCCTCAACAAAACCTTTGCAATGCAGCCCCCGAAAATCGTCAAAGTCCACGGAACATCGAACATACCGAGTAAAAACAGCGTCTTAGGAGTTGAAATGCAATGAGAGAAACAGCGAAGGCTAAGAAAAATGCACAGACCCTCGTAAATACCTGAAGAATTCAAGCTTCGTCTAAAATCTCCCATCGCCTAGCCTCCTACAGACACCAGACGAAATGAGGGAACATGCTTGGTTTCGGACAGATCAACAGAACTTCCTCCTAGATTCTTCATGTTGACTGCCAAGCTGCCGTTCCCTGGATAGCTCTGCAACAGACGGTCGCGAAACGACGGCCAGGATCTGTCGAGAAGCCTTGCGAAGGCCTCCTTCTCCATGCTGTGATGCAGACTGTCTTGTTCTGCGTTTGCTGTGTCGGGGGACTAAAGCTGCTGGTCTTGGAGATGACTTGCAGAATGGTGTCGGTGCAAAGACGAAGTTTGTCAAGCAAGACGCGCTGAATGCTAGTCCATGTCTGCATCTGAAGTCTTCAACTCTACCATGAGCACAAGCTTTTCCCTACTTGAAGTAATGAATGAACTATGCATTGCAGCATTGTGCAAATCACAAAGCTCGGTTGCGATCAGCCGGGTCCAGCGATTCAGTTCTGAACGTGTGCAATGGAGCGATCTTGACGTGAGGATGGAAAAGCTGGAACCCAGATATGCCCAGATCTTTCAAACAGCATGCTACGAGAGGTGGACCTGAAGGCGCCATCAAGAGTAGGCCTTGGCCAAAGCATTCACAGTTGACGTGTTCACCTAACCTGCGCCATCCTTCACCACTTCTCTCCACCTTCATGTCAACGTTGGATTTGCGAGGAGCCCCTAATGCCAAGTGGCCACAGGTCGATTCGCGAATCATATCAGCGAAAGTTGCTCCGTCCTCCCGTCCTGAAAGAAGCTTCGACTATGCAACAGAAGAAGAGGCGGGAATGTGTTCAAGTATTTTCCTGCGTTGGTCTCTCCTATCATCTCATGCTTGAGGAAGTTAAATACTTGAACTGTGGCGTCAATGCTGGCCTGGCATCTTGCCAAAGGCATTCCTTGGACAGTATGACATCATGGACAGAGAACAGAGTGCTTCCTGAACTTTGACTTTGCTCTGATGAGTTCGAGAAGCGAGGGCACGGTCAACGGGTCGTCCAGTGCATTGACGACGAGCGTTGGAGTCTGGACCAGCGGAGCAAACAACACCTGAGCCGGGTACTGTGTAGAGGCGACTTGTACGCGAGTCCAGGGATATCACTCTATGATGTCTGTTGACTGTGGACCGTGAAAACGTCACCCTGCTCGGGCCGCGCGGGTTTTTCAAAGGCATCTTAAGTTCGGTCAAACCGCGTGGGTACGCACAACAGAGTGTGCCGTCACGAAGGGATCTGCACGCACCGATATCGGCTGGCTGCAGAGCTGCCACACATTGGCATGGCCCACTGTATGGCCGACTGCGACAGGCTGGCTTCCAGTATTCAAGCAAGAATCTCCTATCGATGCCGCCCAGAGAGGCCTTTTCGCTTCTTGCCAGGGCACGGGGTTCTCGTGGGCAAAATAGTCTTTGTCAGAGGAATATCCAGCAAATGGGACCACCTGCGAGAGAAGCTCTTGCAGGTCCTGAGCAAGGGGGTTTCGGCTTGGTGTCCAGCATCAGTGACGCATGCCCTCGAAATTTGCCACAATGCACAGTTCTTGCGACGACTTGGCACGACCCTCTCGGCACCTGACAGAAGAATTCACAGCAGCCTCGTAGGCAGCCGGATCATGTGCACGGAGGACCTCCTCGTTCTCGAGCAAGAACTTACTTTTCCTTACTCCCGAGAGCCCGGTTGCATAACAAGCGAATGGACAGAGCAAAAAAAAAATGTCAACACATCTATCTGCACGTATCAGGCCGGGCGCGTACTGCTGAGGCAAAGCCAACTGTACGGAAACTTGAAGCCATTGAAGCCTCCGGCTGCAGCTGACACACGGAAAGAGGTACTAATCATGCAAGGTTCAAGGTGCTTTGAAGCCGAGAGGCACGTTTCCAGATTGTAGCCAGGCGCAATGCAAGCAGTCGCAACAAACTTCCTGTTGGCAATGCCACAAACAATCGGTTCTAACATAGACTGCGGTTCTGCCAGCAAGTCAGAGCTGGTCGGGATTTCGCAGACTTACGTAAAGCAATCATGAGCCCGCTCCCAAGACAATTTCAGCCGGTGTGGCGGTGCAGTCAAATCACCGTTCTTCCGGCGTTCGTCATACTTGCCGACCGCCTCGATTGGCAACTTGCCTCGGCCAAACAAATGTTGCACAGAAAGCCGTGTGGCGGTAGCTTAGAGAGTCGGCTAGAAAGCCCGCCCATGACCCAGCAGTCGCAGGAATGATGTGGTAAGAGACTAGAGACACGGGTCATTTTGGAACAGGCTCGTATGCACGATGCCAGTCAGGGTCGACCCCTGCACTCGGCCGGCGAAGACTCCGAAACACCACAAGGCAGGCCTCTCTTCATCCCGACTGGACACAGCTTTTCTAAAAGAGACCTCAGCAATCCTGTCTTCCAATCAATCGTACCTCTTCTGTTCCTTCTGCTCACAAGACCAAGACGAAGATACTGCCAGAGGAGAAGCCGATCCAAAACATGGGTGCATTGTTCGTCCTCTCCTAGCAGGGTCTGATGGCACAGGAACGGCTTCACGCCGCATTGAATTTACAACACTTGACGGCAATGTCAACAAGTTGTCATCGCCTGCCCACGATCCGTGCCACTAGATTCTTCCACATAACAGCCGAAGCTGAAAACATGCAGTCCTGCACAGCACGAATGATCTGCTCAGAATCATCCTCGGCTCGGCTGGGAGGTATTTGCAAGATGGAGTGCTTCGCGGCTAGTAGGTTTCGATGCTAGCTGCTAGATATGGCGACGCGCCACTTCTTCCAACCGTGTCCACCCTAAATGAGGCAAGATTCAGGCTCCCGGGTCACGACATGGATGTGCGACAGGAACCGCTTTCTGCCAGGACACTGAGTCTCCAAAAAGGTTCCATCGCGGGCCACGGAGTTTTCTGCCGTGTCCCCGGCGCTCGACGACCTTGCAAAGAGCACGACAATCGCAATCTTAGAAGATGGGGCGCAAAGCCAAAACCGTCGTAGGCTGCCTGCACGGTTTAGCTTGGGTCCGAGACCACGGAGATGAGGAAGATTTGGTGGAAGAACTTCACACAACTCTGAATCGCAGTGAAGGAGCACGGATAACCCGACTATGCAGACTATGCAGCACAATGCTGCTCCAGGAAGCAGGCTGTCTGCGACCAGGAAGCTACAATTCGGAAACCACGGGTGACGGCACGGCGCAGAAATGAAGACCCAGGAACGTCCTGGTGACTTCACATGCCGTTTGGAAGAAGTAAACGGCACAGAAACCTCGGCTTCGCCTCAACGAGTGTCGAACAATCCCGCGGACATGGAGCAAGTAACTATGCCTCCTCCCCGCTACTTCTGCCGAACTGCGAATACCCGTCAGTCCTGAGCCGTGCATGTCCTTAGGCAGCAGGCGTGCTAGATCTTCTCTTGACCGGGCACAACGCAAAAGCCCCCATCTAAGCATAATCTAGATAGTCAGGGCTGCAGACAGCAGACAAGAACAAGGCCCAGTCTCGGAAAGACACGATACCCGATTGAATCCCTGGTGTTACTGCCAGATCTTGCCTTCCTGTGACGTCTGAGGTGCCGACAGACCGGGCTCAACGATGATAACCTGTCTATGTTGGTTCTGAAACACACGCCAAACCCCAGACAAACACCACAGTGTAGGAAGGGACACCGTGCATCAGAAGGCGCGACAAAGTGTTAAACCCCACCCCGCGCACACAAGTTACGCGCGAAACGTTCGGAATGCTCTTTGCCTCGACGTGCCAGAAAAAACCGCGGCCATGTGAACAAAAGAAGCCGAAAGACGTCGTTCAAACTAAGAATAACTAAGTAGCATCACCGGGCGTGAAGTCCTATCCACCCAGTCACGCGTAATCAGCAAACAAGTGACATCATGCGGTGCGGCAAATTACTACTTCCACAGTGAACGCACGGTGACACCCGCTCGCAAGCAGAACTTCTGCTGGATTAGAAGGACAAGCATCTTTTGTGCTGCATCGAATGCCTGGCTTTATGTAAATGAGTCCTGCGACGACGCGCATGCGCACGCGTTCCCAACATCAATCTAGCTCCTTAGTTCGTCCACACCAGGTGCGGTTCACGAGCATCCCAAACGGGTTTCCGAGATGCAAAATACCAACGGGGATGCGTATTCACCACAGCGATGCGGGTTGAACACTCCTTTCGTGACGAATGGCAAGAGGCGACCGTAAAGTACCCGTGGCAACAAGGGAACACTGCATTCGCGAAAATATAACATCTCCATCAATGCTCAGGCCTTGAAGGTGAGAGTCATGTCATCGTGTGGCAGTCTTAAGACATACTGGCACACACGCATCATGCCATTGCTGGCCTCTCCAACTTGAGTGAGGCTACACAAGCTTCAGAATGTCTTCCCCAACAATATTGGTTTTGGTACGGGTTTGTTGTTGTGCGGCCCATGACTCTAGATTCACAGGTGCAAAAGCCCTTAGCTTAAGTCAGTCGAAGTCGCCGGAGCATCGCGCGCCAATGAACAGCCGGAGCTGCTCTTGCTCTTCCTGGAGCCGCATTGCTGCGTTGGAAGCTGGAACCATCCTACAGTGCAAACCTGTTGTTTGGCAGGCACGCACAACATGACAAAATCAAGGCAAGCAGCTCCACTGCAGGAAAATAGTTGATGATTACCTCACGGACAGCGCAATTCGGACAACAAGCAGTAAAGGACGACTCCGCCTCTCTTTCAAGCGTCTGCGAAACACGGAACCAAAGACAAGCAATGAGTCAGAGGAGGCAAAACCAATTTCAAAAAATACATTTGGCGAGTTGATCGACTCCGCGTGCAGTTGAAGACGGTGTGTCCATTCATGCTCCACCCACACACGATGACGGCAGTCTGCCGACTCCCATCCTGTTCTGCAGCGCTCTCCATTGTCGAGACGTTCTTCAATTGTCGATAACCGCCTTGGCGTGAAAAAAGACGGACCTCCGGAGCTCGGCTGTGAGCACGCCTCGGGCCCTGGAACCATAGCTGAAACAGCATGTGTATATGCATGCGCTTGCGTGTGTTCGAGCAATAACATCCCTGTTCTAACGTCGCTAGGTAAGAAGCACCTACCTTCAAGGAATGTCATGTAACCTGACATTTCAGAGGTCGCAGGCGCCCGCCAAACACTCCATGTCGCTATGTGCGACACCCTACCTGCAGAACAAAGATATGCTCTTACTGCGGTAGGCCCCACGTTTGAGGTGTCGATGTGTGTGTGTGGGGGGTGTGTGTGGGTGTGTGTGTG